ATAAATGTGGAACACTAAATATTTCAACCTTGCTCTTGTCTTTTTTTGCATAATCATAGGACACTGAGGCCCTTCCTTCAAACTCAAATGCCTGCCTTGTTTTGATCATGAATAGCCAGGCTGGTAATTATCTTCAAGTGAAAGAATATCTCAAGGCATTCATCTACAAAACACAGCTTAATATCAGTGTAACTAAAGGAGAATACTAACCTCAGATGGGATTTTCGTTTCAAAATGAAGACATAAATATTCATCACAACATTGCTGGCACTGTACTGATGACACAAGCGGGATGAGGATAAGACATTTTTGAGGAATCAATGAATACAGACAAAAGTATCGCTACAAGTCAGTAGTGTCCTAAATGAAAACAGCAAGTTATCTATGTATCCAACTGATCAATATTCAAATTCTTCTCCTGCAGTTTTATTTGCCTCAGTAATGATCTCAGTGCTGCTTTGCATAACAGAACTTCTTCCCTGATTATAAATGTAGAGGAATTTGGTTGATTCTCTCAGGGTTGGAAATTAGCACCGGCCACCAGCCAAAATGCTGGTAAAAATATGCAAGTGGCTGCATATTTTGCATATTTGTTTTACTCACCTGCCAAAAACAATGGTAATCTATTGAGTAGCTGGTAGATTTTGGAATCTAACACCCACAGTGGCAGCTGGACAGAACATTTAATTCCCAATCCTGGTGCTTACTATACAACAGGACAGGTACCTTCAGGGTCAGGTTACAGTTGGTACAGAGACTTCTAGTGGCATTCAGGTGCAGCGTTGGGTTTTGTCACTCTGAGTGACCCCTTTAACATTACATGTTTTTGATCCAGTGGAAACACACAAGGACATGAGAGTCCACAGCCACACCAGTGAGTCTGTGAGGCTGCCACAGCAGCTATTTTAGCCAAATGCTAAACTCAGCCTGCCAATATGTTTACAACGTCAACGCTAACATGCTGAAGTGTAGCACATATGTTAGTTCATTGTGTTAGCATGCTAACATTCACTAATTAGCATTAAACAGAAGTACAGCTGGGGCTGATGGGAATGTCATTAGTTCAGCAAGTATTGTAAGTAATCAAGCAACATATTGGACAATTTAGACCTGCACATGGCGTTAAATGAAAAGCTAGAGGTTCAGTATACAAGATTCAGAGTCTGAACTGGGATTGCCTTCACACAGCTCTCACCTCGGCTGAGTTGAAGCATGCTAAAGGTGCTCACAGACTCGGGCTTACTATAAGCAGAGCGGACTCTGCGAGGAATGTCCGAGTCATTCGGGCTTCCATAGTCGAGCACACTTCCGCATTGTAGTTTCCTGTAAAAATGTCTGTGAAAAATCCCCGCGATGTGAAAAATACATGCCGAGCAGTCTTTTGTGTGACACTTGTGCTCGGAGTGGAGTCCGCGCGGTCGTAAAATCTGAGCTTTGCGCTCACAGGGCTTGCGGACGTCCGCTTTTAGTCCAGGCGGACCTTCGTGGAGTCTGCTCCGTGTACGTTCCGCCCGAGTATGTTTGGGCCTTAACAGTGCTAACAACTGCAACAGTGCTGGCAGAAAACAGTGTTATCCTGTAGGGGGAACCAGAGGGTGGGTATTAAGCTTCTGTGACGCCCACTGTGGGTTGGGGCCATGGACTGTGTATTAAGATGGATGACGCAACTCCATTTGCTCCCACTGTACAAAAATGAAGCCAAAATATCCCTGATACGGCCGCTGAGATCTTTCATCGGTGACATCATTTGGAGCCAGAGTCTACACAGTAGCGATATCAGCATTTTCAAGTTCCTGTCCATAGACCCCTCCAACCTATCGTGAGCACCGCCATGGAACACAAGCACACTGATTAGCACACGCAGCTGTCAATCATGATGCCAGCCCCCTTATTACAGCATCAAATGACTGATAAAACCAAACTTAAAAGAAAAAGGAACACTCCAAAATACATCAGATAAAAACTAAAATGACAGAAACCGAAACATGTGCTTTGTTTGTTTTGTTTGGCTCATGTCATGTCCGCTAAATTAAATGGAGCGTCGTTTATGACCTGTACTGCAGCCGGCCACCAGGGGGTGATGGAGATTTTTTGGCTTCACTTTGGGGACGCTTTCATGTTGTCCATCTCTATTCTAAAGTCTATGGTCGGTGTTATCAGCGGTAACTGCTAGGGATGTCCCGATCCGGTATCGGCTCCGATCACGTTATTTTTTACAAAATCAGAATCGGTAATAAAAGATCTGAGGAATCAAAACAACAAAAATGGCCAGGTTTTTCATCTATGTTGTTCATTGTTGCCTCGCTTTCCAATGTATAAAGATATAGGCCTATTTTGTTTGTTAAAGACAAGAAGAAGAGATTGAATTTGTTTACATTTTGTGCTGCTGAATCACCGATAAGATTTTTGGATACTATTTAAATAAAAAACAAACCTTGTGGGACAGCTTGGATGCATTCTTTTTTTTTTTTCTTTCTTAATGCTTTGCAAAGTATCAAATCGGTCTCGGTATCGGACTCGGTTTCAAAATAAAGGACTCTGTAATGGATCGAATGCAAAAAAAAAAAAAATGTGATCGGGACATCCCTAATAACTGCTGTATGAGCGCAGTGCAGAGCAGCGGCTATTAGCTAGCCAATGGGACGAGAAGGAAAGGACTCAAATCCAGTAACATGCAAGCAAGATGGGACCGGTTACCAAAACAATGTACAGAGAAAGGGGATTTTAAAGCACACAGAGGGGGCGTGGCTTAATTCTCTGCTCAGGATCTCATTAGTATATCTTTACATAACAAAGCGTGGTTTGCTTCTGTATTAATGGTCTGAATGTCATAATCTGCACCTTTTAAGGCATCACCAAAGTTACAACAACTCATCCTGCCGATTTGTATGGTTATCCATTCAATATCTCTAAAGATAGATATTCAAAACCAAAAATGTGTGCTGCATTGCCCTGGGGTTAAAATGTGGACTTATCCACAATGACCCAGTTTAATACAGCTGGGAACCTTTGCTCTATTTGATCTTCCTAATTTACTGTCTGCCTGTAGTATCTATTTCAGTGTTGCTCACAATTTGTTTCTTAATTGGAACCAGATTGTGTGTGCCTTCTCCCCTCATGTTTTGGGACATTGCAGAGAAAAGGCCTTTTGCAACTGTTAACAGTGTTTCTTGCGTGATACAAAGACAAAGGAGAAATGGTAAGTGACCATGAAGTCACTTGCTAGTGGTTGCAAACACAATAAATATTCTTAATAAGAATTCACCATGCACCAAAGATCCATTTAGTGATGCCCTAAAGCACATCCAGGTGTGGTCATTGGAGGGTTAAACCAGGCAGAACTGCTGACAATTATAATCAGGTGGTGCACCAATGTTTTAACTTTGCTCCGCCCAGACGACCCTTTCCTAAATCTCTTTTTAATTAGCAAGTGAAAAATCTAAGTTGAGTGTCTTGTGAGTTTCCACAATATCTTTCTTTTTACGCCTTTGTGTTTCCTTAAACTGCCCCAGAGTGCAGTTTTGGCTAAATGCTCTTGTTGCTTTTGTCAACTGACCCTCAGGTCCTCATGATGCAGTCAGTGGATTTAATGATGAGAAGAGGACTTCAGCTTTTCTGGGTGGACCCTGGCTAAACCTAGTGTCATCAACAGGTAAGGTGTTTTTACGATTGTAAAATATTTTTCTGACCTTTGATAAACATAATTAAATAACACTCTAGATGTCTTTGGCTGTCGTTGCGTAGCATACCAAGTGCATCAGTTCTCAGTTACCCCAGTCCATGAGGTCTGCTGAAGTCACCCAGACTGAATCGTACACAGACTCATGAGTTGCGTAATGTTTTGGATACAGATATTCAGCAAATGGTGTGTGCAGTCAGTGTGTCTTTGTACTGCATTCAAAGAGACATGTTGCTGTCCTGAGAGTCAGATACTTTGCCTGTCACGCCAGAAGAGGGCGTCATTGTTCATGTGGTGAACATGTTGCCATGAAGCGTTTCACCTGGAATAAACATCTATATAAAATGGGCTGCTGTAGGATCACCAGTGATAGTTAAGAGTCAGTGGACCCGAGTTGTTCTTTCAGGTCAGTTCACAGGAACCATGTTATATTCTGTTGTATGTAAGGCATTGGTTTGCAGTGGATGATGTGGAATTTGTAATTCTGAGCACAGAGAAGGATTTTGTTCCTCCAGTTTTGCACCAACGCATTAAACCATAAAAGCAATATGTAAAGTAGGATTTCATTAAAACTGGGAAAAGCGGAATGAAAATAATTACAATGTGGAAATTTTTAGTTAATTTAGGCTTTTGTTAATACTAGAATTTTAGGGTAGTTATTCTGTATTTATAATAAACCCGGCAACACCCATTTTAATATAATTTTAATCAATCAATACATGATTTAAAAGGAAGAAAACATATTCATCAGAATAAACTGTGACAGATGAGCTTTGATTTCTGATAATTTGAGAGGTCTGATCAAAACAAACGTGGATATAATGGTATTGGTATTTAACATTCAAATATTGACTGCACAATCAATAAGTATAAATTAGCAACACCAGATTTTGAACTAATGCCTTTAATCAGTGCTGCAAATTTTTACCCCCCCAAAAAATGTCATTAATTTAAACACTTTTTATGTTATACACACGAGAAATAATTGTCTTTATTTATATATTTTTATATATATATATATATATATAGGCTAATTGTTGTTTTTATCTATTAATTGAATCTTAAGTTATTTATTTTTTTATGTATTTATTCTATATTATATTTAGGTGTTTCATTAATATATAATACATTCATCTATTTTATTTATTTTTGAATTTTTTTTTTTCGCAGTACATACTTCGGCCATGCCTAATGTTAATTTCAATAATTTATGTGTATGTGTGGAGAGGAGTTAGTTTGCAAGAAAATGCCCCCTTCCCCCCACCCCCGCAACGCGCAAGCGCTCGGGATCGTGTGGGAATGGTCGGTCCGCGAACTGGGGGTTGGACCGCTCCGAGCGAAACAGAGCAAAAGAGTTTTAAATGTCCGCCATGTTGTCCATGGCGCACTGAACCAACGATAGGGAGCGGAGCGTCGGAAAAAAACAGTCCGAGAGCGAGCGACCAAGATCCGGGCCTTCCCCCGGCTCCGTTGGCGACGCCCTAAATACAAGCTACAACCATTCGAACGTTAGAATAGAGATAACCGCACAGAAACATCCATGAAAGCTCCACTCGGTACCGTTTTGAATATTAGGAGATCCGATAGATTTATATTGCATCTCGAATTGTGAAAAATGAGTAAATTGTCGTTTCGGGCACGGGCGCTGGACGCTTCCAAGCCACTACCCGTCTTCCGTTGTGAGGATTTACCCGATCTACACGAATATGCATCCATTAACCGGGCCGTGCCACAGATGCCTACGGGGATGGAGAAAGAAGAGGAATCGGTATGCTTTTAACCGTCCGAAATGTGAAAATATATGCTTTGTTTTATTTTTAATTTTTATATGATCAGAGGCGTCCCTCCTTTTTTTCCTGCGCAAGCTTTCACAAAATGGCCGCCAATTTTCTCAGGAGAAACACGACGGAATTCTGTTGCAAATGGCCCATTTGTGGTACTGGGACGACTGTTTGGGTAGCGCAGGGGTGCATTGTGTCAATATGGGGTAAAATAACCCAGTTTGGCCGGCTTATTTGTGCGTGAGGTGATTTTCTGAGTACAAAGGAGTCATGTGACTTCAGCAATTCCGACATTTTGTCTTGTCTGTCAGGACGGGGCCTTGTGTTGGCGTAATTGCAAAGGACCAGGGCAAGGGGGAGCTCTAGTGATTTCAGATTATATGTGGCATCTGCTACTACCAGACAGAAATGTCAACACTGCTGCCATGCATTGAGGAAAACCTCAGTTCTGGTTGTATTGAACAGGATGTAGTCTGTGTTTTTATGTGTCTTTGCTTACATCATTGTGTGTGTTGACATTATTGAGATATTTCCTTGTGCAGTGTCACAGTTGGTTGGCTATTAGCATTTTGTCAATATGATGCACCCCTTCATGTTTACCTGTATGGAGGCTTTGGGTTATGATCCTTCTCTATATGTATATACTGCAGTTTTTGTCATTAAGTTATTGCCACAACTAGAACCATTGTTTAAACAGTAAATGCACTGGGTTAATCATACTGCTTGTGCTGCGGTTGGTGAGATATATTGTTTAATCTGTCAGCATTACACCACTAACCTGGAGAGGGTTCCCTTAACATATTAACCTATGTTGACTTTCCAGAGCAAGCTGTCACTGTAATAACTGTCTCTCTGGTTTTGCAGTGTTGACATTTAATTTTCCAGATAAGAGCACTAAATCACATCCACAAACCAAATTCTCCAGTGCACGCACACTGCTGTTCAAAAGTTTGGAGGTTATATTGATGTTTTTCAGTTTTACTACCAGAGATAAAACAGTGTAATTCAGACACACATTGTGTTATTTACATTTTACATTGGACATATATGTAGCCCTGAAAGAAGGAAAATTAAATGATTCAAACTTTCATTTTACCCATTTAGCCCACACTGTTGCACCGCAGGGGAGAATGCTGTTGCCCACTTTGCCCCCTAAATACCCTTCAATTTTAGATTTGTGTTCCACTCCAGAAAAGTTACCCTTCATCACTATTGAACCACAACAGTGCAACTGGCCGCTAAAGATTAAGGGAAGCTGTTTGTTTTTGGGCATGCTACAGTTGTGCAGGTAGTGCTTGGATTGATTGAGTATAAGCTGTGATTTGTCAGTCCACACTTTAGAACAGCAGTTTAAATTTTAAAACCAACACACTGAAAACCTCTACAAGCTATCTTGGCAGATAATTCACCATCCTTTTGTGGAACCCTTATCATATTATGACAATTTAGTTGGCAAGAGAAATGCTGATATTTCTAGGTGAGTATCTGGGGCATCAGCCACTGAGGAAGATAAATAAACAAAGTCTGCTTCCCGCTCTTGATTATTCTGGGTGATGTGTGGTTATCTTTAGGATGTAGGGGTTTGTTTGTATACCAGAAGCACCCCGTGGGAAATTTGTTCTTCACTCTTGACATGTAATTTATGAGACATCTGTCCTTATTCTGGCTCCTTGAAGCAAGATAACTGCTTCTCCTGGAGTATTGTTTTCTAGCTGACCCAGCAGTATCTTGAGTGATGTTTAAATATAAAGGCATTTGAATGGGGAATATCACTACAGACATCCCTCGTGGATACTGGTTTTATTCACTGGAAGTATGTTGCAGCCAGTCTGCCTCTCTGCTCCTGTGGTAGCTCAGTGTCAGGGGTTCAGTGTGTCAGATGGCACAGCAGGCTGGCAGACCAGCGGCACGTGGCGCTCAGGAGGAGATCAGGGCAGGAGGAGGAGGAGGAGGAGGAGGGGGGGGGCTGCTGTCACTTCAAAGTCTGTGTTCTGCTCAGCTGGAGTGCTCAGTTATGTAACAGTCATATTATCATAAGAGGTAGGCCAAGGCCTGCTACATCCTAACTGGAGTTGTCTGTTCTGAGTTTCTACGTCAGATGCAAGTATGCTTTGAATCGTGCATGGTTGATGGTGTCGCTCATGGCATTTATTATGCATCCCTGATTCTTCACTCATTCATCTACACAAGGATAGTGCCTGGCTTCTCTGGAGATTTTTGACCCACTGATCTTGCAACAGCGTCAACCACATTGACAATCCACTCAGTGTTGTGTGGTCTGTAGACTGTGTGGTGTCCCTGTACTCCCTGACCCTGCCATTTAAGAGCTGGTGAACTCAGAGCCACTTGAAGATTTAGACCCTTCTGTATGCGAGATTTAACACTGCTTGTTTGTACCGTTTACCAAGTACAAGACTCCATGCTTGTTTTCTCTGTTGCTGCTGGACCTGCCTTTCAGTAATCATCGTTCAGTCCAGCATGCGGTTTTGTAATTCGCAGGCGGTGTGTGTATGCGGTGCTTGACTGAAGAGCCATCATCGCCGAAACTCCCTCAGCACGTGCGGCTTGTTTGTTTTGGGCCAGACACTTTGTCTTGTGTTTACGTTTGGGTGAAAGTGAGGTCAGTGTCTGCGGCCCTGGTGGGAACCCACAGGCATCTGTTGTGTTTGCCTCTTTGCCAGACACAGTTCTTGTACTCACGCACACGCGCACACACAGAGACACTAACAGGCACACATTCTGGCAGGCCACCAGTTTCTCAGTGCGTAGCCTTGCTGGGTGGGAATGTGGGGCATGTCACCTGTCCAAAGTCTGCAGCCTACATGCTGTGAAGCTGAAAGTTGCTTTTGTCAGCGGTTTTCCCCCTTTTTCTTTCGCTGTTGACAGTTTTGTATTGATGTGTATGTGGGCAGCGTGGGAATTTAACACCAGCCTCCAGGCAGGTTCTTGAATCTAACCCCACAGCTAGTTTTCCAGTGAGGCAAGCCTTGACTCAAACAACTTCTGAGAGTGACTGGTGGTTTTAGGATTTTTCCAGGCATTGGCCCACGGATACAAGACATTTCACGTTCCATGTCTGTGAGTCATTGGTTTCACTTCATTATTATGCAATAGTGGACCTACGCTCAAAAAAACTCATTTTATTTCTATCTTATTTGAACAGCCATGTTAATTTGCGGAATGGAAAGTTTCTCAATTCATGATCAGTAACTTTACAAACTGCCAGGCAGAGCTAGAATCCAGCAGCAGCAGCAGCAGCCAAAAGCACAGTCTGATGGCAGCCGTTGATTTCCCACCCCACTTACACTGGGTGTTAAAAATCATCCTCTCCCACGCGGTGCATAAAAACTGCTTTGTACTGTAGCTATGCGTCCCTCGACAGCCCTACCCGACCAGCCCCTGCGGCTGTCCATCATGTTAAGTGGCATTTACAGTGTCTGGGACAGTAGCTGTCAGAGGCGAGACTGGGGAAGGTGGAGGAGGCTCTGGCTGCCTCAGCAGACTTGACAGTGATCGATGTGGTCATTTTAGAAGGCTATTTCTGGACTCTGTGTGTATGTGTGAGAAAGCGAGAGCAGGAGGGATAAGTTTGTGTGTGAGGGCACCAGCCAGTGCTCTGTATTCTGACTGTTCACCTCAATCTAAGTCTATTTATTCTCAAGCAAATAGCAGTGGCCGGGAAAGTAAACAAACACATTGCTTGATTATGTTTGGCAGCCTATGTGTTTTTGCTGAGGCCGTTTGATTTTATGCGTTTTTCCCTCATTGTGGAGAGGCCCGAGGACATTGATGCAGAGGTTTAGGCGTTCGCCGGGGGGAATATTTCAGTGGGAATCGGATAGGAACATGAAGGTTACACAAGTGTGCATGTACAGAGGAGGTCACAGTAAATGCTACAGATAGGTTGAATGTGTACAAGTTTTGAGATGCCTTAGGGAGGCACTTTTAATAAAACTGAAAGGTTTGTCCACAGCAGCTTCTCCAGCTACTCCCTCAGAACAGATCGCCAGAGCACATGGCGCTACGAATGTAAAATACAGTCACTTGCCTCGGGTCTAACAGACTGTGTGGAATATTATTAGCCCCAAAGGTCCAAATAGTGTTGATGAACACGATGCTCTGAGACACAATAAAATAGATTTGATACAGTCGACTGAAAGTGTTTCAGATGATTGCAGACAACATGATGGTATACTGAAGGTCGCACAGTATAAAGTTTACTTTTCAGCGTCTTTGACATCCTCTGTTTTCTTGTTGATGGTGATATGATGAGTGACCAGTTAAGTAAAATGGTAACAAAATAAGTAATAATCAATTATAGTTTTTATATAGTGGAGAAGTAATTATCGTTTGATATTTTTGTCGAAATCAACCTGTAAAAACTGAGTTAAACCCTTTTTTTAAACATAAGAAAGCAAAATATCGTGTCCATGTATATCAACGCTGCTTTATTTAAGTTTGTAAGATCTGTTTTGTTGCCAACTAAAATTGCTCAAAATGAGTGTATTGTCCACATTTTTCAGTCTTTGCTTGTAGATAGAAAAGGTTTTTTTTTTTCTAGTTAGAGTACAGCACTTCGTAAGAAATAATACATAACTATAGACCAAATAGAATAGTCTGAACTGAATTCAGCAGATTTCTGCTTTGTGTTAGCAAGGTCTCAGTTAAAGTGTTAAGAACCCTCTGGATAAAACCATTGTAGCACTGATTACATGTATGTGCACTAATACTCCACTACTATTCAGAATATGAATACACAGTATTCTGTATTTGATGCAGATCACGTAAACAGCATATTCTGTTTGGATATTTTTAATTGGGCCTTATTTCAAATGTAGCATTTCCTGATTAAGATGTGGGCTATGCTGTTATTTGGGTTTTAGGAGCATTCTTTGCACATGTAAACGGTACATTCGGAATATGTGTCTCACTCGTCGTTTTTACTGCATTTTGCAGCACACGGCCTCTTGCCTATTTATTATCAGCTTTGTGCATTGTCATGGATGCATTGTACACAAACCAACTCGCCAACAGTTTGCAAGGGCAGGGTAGAGATGCACACCCAAAAGAAAAGCATTTCCACATTTCTGGTCAGATGAGGAACACCTCCTTTTAAACATCATGAAAGACTGATATCAGCAGGGGTTTTTTATTCCCCTGAATATGCGCAGATATTGCAACATGGACTGTTTGAAGAAGGATGTTGAAGGTCCAGCAGTCCACCAAGTCTGCCAACAGTGTAAAACATCCTATTTTGATGCGTGGAAGTAAAATGACACAAACCGCACCGGCCGTTCCTCTTTTTCATATGTTGATGTTATAAATGACATGGTAGGGCATGTCAACCGAAATACTTAGTGCATGTAAACATAGTGATTAAAAAGCTTCCCTGTTTTGTGAGGTCACCAGGCACAAATTCATCTGTGCGCTGCAGTGATCAAGTTCGGTTTTGCTTGATGTCTTACTGAGAAGCTGCACACTGACCTGATGTAACCTAGTGAAAACTGTTTGCCGTCGTTATGTTCCTGTTCTTCCTTCTGGCTGTGATGTGGTGCCAAGGGAAGCTTATATTAAAACAAAATCCATCTAACATTAAGCACTAAGCTGAAGAAATGTCCTATAAAACCAGCTTACATAAATGTTATAGTAGAAAAGTCCATATTGATGTCATGAAGCGGCTCAGGCAACCACAAAACAACTGTTTATTGTTCAGATGCAGTTAAATGATGATGTAATGACTCATCTCAGGATACTTTATTACTATAGTGCTGTTCTGTTGAAGGGCGAGTTTGACCCCCCCCCCCCCCCAAACAAAACATAATTTTCCCTCTCACCTGCAGTACTATTTATCAGTCTAGTTTTGGTGTGAGTTGCTCAGTGTGTTGAAAGATGTCTGCTGTAAAGATGTCGGCCTTCTCTCAGTATATTGGAACTAGATGTCACTCAACTTGCGGTACTGAAAGCACCAAAATATACATATTAAAAACTCAATAGCAATGTCTCTTTCCAGAAATGATGACCCAGTTACTCAGGATACTCCACAGACCTTGCTGTGAGCACTTCCATGTAGGAACTATTTTGTTTCTACTGAAACACACCCACCAACCATATCACCACACAGAAGGAAGCGTGCATCTACGGCTAGCCCATGTAGCACCACTTAGCTAGCTAAGGTCATAGCTCAGGCAAGCAGAAAGCTATTAATGTTTACATCTCGTGCTGTCGTGAGCACTAGCCTCTCGTCCACAATGAGTAGATGCAGTAACTACATTTCAAATGTAGGGATTTTATCTCTATATGATTTGTCAATGGAGGTTCCTCAGAATGTTCTATGTCACCGGTTTCCCACCGTTCATTTTGAGCACTTTTGATATATTTGTGTGTTTTGCATATATATACACACACACACACACACACACACCTCATTCAGTTATTCAGAGTACCACACTCTCTGAGCAGCGTGCTCTGCACACTGTCTAAGCAGCAGAGCTCCAGGCAAAGTAAAACTAAAACTGTTCATTGATTCATATAAAGTTGAAGGTTCTTTTTCTTACAACAGTGGTGCTGTCACTTGCCACTCGTTTTTCCAAACTGCTTTCAAAAAACTGTCTGCATTCCCATCGAAAACCACGCACCCAGCCTGCAGTCCAGCACTGGGTCTTAAAGTTTGTGTTCACTTACCTCTGCAGCAGCTGCTCCTCTGATCTAATCGGCTTTCATCAATCTGACCACAAAGTAATTAACTGGTCAACTCAACACCCTGCAGTTCAGTCTCAGCAAATCCAGAGGACATAGAATGATGGCAAAAAACTTTGCTGAGAGCAGCTTACTGCTGCTAGCAGTCAGTATACCTTTATACTGACTGCTAGCAGCAGTAAGCCGCTGAAAAGCTGGATAGTTGCACACTGAGTCGGACCATGCAGGCATGTTGATGCTTGAATATAAGATGAGTTATGGACATAGCTATATTAGTAGCAGCTTGTGGTATAGCCAGAATAAATGGTTACATGTGAAAGAGAAGCAGTGACTTATGAAGTGTTGGTTGCATAATTGAGTTTACGGCGGTACAGCCTCGGGAACTAGCAAACCTCCTGACGTTTGGAATCCAGTTCAGACTGGTGTCTAAGAGTGTAAACTGCACATGTTGAATCTGAATGAAGCTCTACGATACTTGTGAATCTAGTCTGTCCTCCTTTTATACATGCTTTACATGGCAGTGACTATTCCATGGTTGGCTTATAGTGGTTGTTTTTGCAGTAGGCAAAGTCTGTTGCTTTCCATGAAAAAATACCAATTCACAACAGTGTCACACTCAATTGTTTTACCTCACACACATACTTTCTCTGTGACTCATTCACTCACTCCGTCTATCTTCCTAGGGCACAGATACCCCCCCCCCCCCCCCCCCCCCCCCCCCCCCCCCCCCCCCCCCCCCCCCCCCCCCCCCCCCCCCCCCCCCCCCCCCCCCCCCCCACTACCCTTGTGTCTCTGACAGCCGCAGGGAAAACAATAAATACACACCTTCTCCCCAGAGAGCTGCTGTACGAGGCCGGCAGCATGCTGCCTTGTTGACAGACTGCCTGCCAGTGGCTCAGCGCCCAGCTCTGGGCCAAAGGCTCTACTACTACGACTGACTGGGACTGTTCAGATGAGCAGCCCGCCAGCAAACCAGTTAGTCAGCTATCCAGCCTGTCTGCCTTCCTTCCGGCACATTACCCCTCAACGGGCTTGGCAGCGGCAGGCTCTCGTCACACTTGTGGCGGGTAGATAAGGCCAACTGACAAAAACAGTGTCAGGTTTTTCTCTCTTCATGCTCTGAAGATGATAATGATTAAATGGCAGGCTCAGATTTGTCTCAGTCCAGTTTCTGTACCTAGGCTGTATCATGCAAGGCTCAACTGGTAAACTCTTATTACCATGAAAATGACACCTGGATTCACATATATAAATGAAGAGTTTTGCAAATGCAAACAGATTTAAACACAAACGTAAAAGATTCAACATTCAAAATGATGTGGCAGTGTGGATTTAGCATGAAGTGTTTTTCTGTTGACCTGACACTGCTGTTTGTTCTTTACAAGGTGTTTTTTGTAAGATTGTCATAGTCTGGATGACAAGGGTTACCCAATGTGTAATTGGATAACTGTCAGTTTCCTTCCACAACTCAGTTTGCAGGTGATTACGTTTGGCCTGTATCTCTGTGAGTCAGCATCTTAACCCCCACCCCAGCATGATGACATTTACAAGGCTCAATATTGTGGTTTATTTGGCCTATGTTTTGTTGCAATGGCTTTACTTAAAGTTCCCATGAAACTGCTAGTAGGCCGCCGGTTGATTGCACAGCTAGGAAGCTAGAAAGGGATTTTCCGCAGATATTAAGATTACGTACTGTTGCATTTGAAACGATACTACTCAGTATGAGTACCTAACGGTCCCTGTTTTTGGTGCTTCACTCTTTCTGTAGGCTTATAAAAATTTAGTCTTTGAACAAGCTGCAGTCAATAAACAATTCTGTACCTCTACTCTTTTCTAATCCCACTTAGAGGGTCTCTGTCTGTCTGCTTGCGTGTGTGTGTGTGTGTGTGTGTGTGTGTGTGTGTGTGTGTGTGTGTGTGTGTGTGTGCATATGTCTGCTCATCTCTCGCTTTCTGTTCAGACACAACTGACAAATATGTGGAATAAGTGCTTGGTTTTAGAAACCTAGTCACAAACAGCAGTGATACTAGGCTATTTCTAGAAAACAACAAAGAAAACAGACCAAGTAGACTGAAACTTTAGGTGCTGCAGCGACTAATTCAGGCTTGTTGAGATGCTGACAAAGCTCTGTGGCCGGCCTCCGGGCTTCAAGACTTTTCATGGCACTTCCGCCACCTTTTGTGCACCCAGTTATTCGGCGCAGCTCAGTTGTCTCTGCATCAAGGTGCCCAAAAGCTGGGAAGCTGGTCACGGAGCTAGCAGATACTGATTGGCGTTTCATTGGTTGATTGGTGTTTGTGCTCCCCACTAAATTTCAGATTGAAAGTAGCTATTTGCTCAAAATGGAGAGAAAAGCTACATGGACAGTCTGCCCTCTGTTGTTTTGGACTTCTTGCCACCATCATCTCACATGCGTGCTGATATTAAAAATGAATAGAACAGAAATGAAATGGAGAAGTCTTTTTTAGTGTGTGTGTGTGTTTTGGTTTTTGTTTGGAGTAAGACCACATGTTCGAGCAGAGATCTGAAGCCAGCGGTGCTGCTGGTGAAGGAGAAATTCAGGCAAATTGGAGACAGCATTTCATTAGATGCAAAATTAGTATACAGCCAGGTGTGTTGGATGAGTCATTTTGGATTAGATTAGGAATAAATCAGAAAAAAACTCCTGCAATAGTTGGACTTATGTAGAATGTATGGATCAGTTGTTTCATTCATGCTTAAAAATCACAAGCTCATTCACAGTTGTGATATTTAGCTGACTCGTGACATCCAATCATAGCTGCAGGTCTACAGCATACCCTGATCAACACTGGATTTTTGAGGCTGAAATTGATATTTTGAAAGTCAAGGAGTTTGAATGATAAATCGAGCAATAGTGATTTTTTTTTTATTTTTTTTATTAAACCCCAAAAATGTCTATAAATGCCTAACATTACTTTCATGTCAATTCCACATTACATTTTTTTTTTACAATAGTTTCAAGGTCTTTAAAGCTATGTGACACCATCTTTTTTTAACCCAGTATGCTAGTTACTTAAAAAATTTTGTTTTTATGGTATTTAACTTCACAGTTTGTATATTATCTGTAGTACGTACACATCAGTCCTCAGTAGTCCAGGTGTCTCACCTCCATCTGTGTCTCTACAGGAACACCATCTCCAGCGGGCCATCTCTGCGCAGCAGGTATATGGCGAGAAGCGGGACAACATGGTCATCCCTGTCCCTGAGGCAGAGAGCAACATCACCTACTACGAATCCCTCTACCCTGGGGACTATAAGATGCCAAAGCAGCTAATTCACATACAGCGTAAGTGGGCCTCTCTAATGGCAAATTTGTGATGCTGAAAGCAGAGAAAATGAGTTTGATGTGGCAGATTAGGGACCTCGGTTGTTTCATTAGGTTGTAACAGTGTTTCCTTCAATTATTTTGAATGCTTTAAATGACACTTGGGGACTGTTGATCAAAATTATAAGTGGCAATGAGTGGAATAATTCCACATGAGTGTAGTTTTTTTATTTGTAAACATGGCTGTAGATCACTCTAGATCATTTCATTAGATTAACTTTTGGACCATAAAGCAGAGTATAAAGAGCACTTATGACTGAAAGGAAAAGATGGCATTAGGGTAAAACAGTTCATCAAGATGTTTTCTGGGCTGGCTTCATGAACTTTGCCAAGTTGGCTGCGTTAGGCTTTCATAAAGGCGAGTCTATTCAGTTACTCATGAGCCCACAGGTAGTTGTTTCAGACAGCTATTCATCTGTTTAATGGCATCAGGCATGTGTTTTATGAGCTTTTACTGAGTTGTCACGTTTGTCAAAGTAAATGAGTTTGTGAGATTGCCCAGTTCAGTAATGATGTCAAAGAAAAAGAGTTTGCTAGATTGCTCAGTTCAGTAACCATGTCGGTGTCACAAGTGGTTGCCATGATTGTTTCTCAAAGGAAAGCAATTTGCTGTACCCTACACACAGACACCGTTATCAGTTGAAAGCTGAAATGACAAATGTTTTGTCCTGTCAAATTACTGTCGGAATAATTTCAAGGTTTCCTCAGAGGGCTAGACAGTTTGAAACGTGTGGAAAATTCAGTGCTGATCATTTCCACGTCTTGGAAGTGTAGTGTTTGTTCTAAAATATCTAAACCGCATTAGCAAATAATTGTCTGTCTGGTTGTGTATGCACTTTATGCAGCTGCACATTTATTGTCATGTTACAAGAAGACAGTTGATAAATCTAGCAAGGATACAGGTCTGCACAAATAAATAGAAATTTTAAATGTGGAAAAATCTTCATGAACATACTGTCTCGTCAGTATCCCTTCTGTCGTACTCAGTTGCCTTGATGGCAGCGATTTGCCTTAATTAAATTAGAATTGAGGTTATTATTCTAAAGATGAAGCAGCAAATACTCTGGTCTGTATAACGTTTGCTCTCTAGTCTCTAATTGTAAGTACAGTTGCTGCAAATGTCTGTTAGAAGCTAGATTAATTTAATTTTGGCAGATGTGGCGATGTTCCTGCTGTGGGTTTTTAGGCATTTGTGGGAGCCAGTAAGGAAATGAGTTTATTTGAATTAGCCTGACATGACTGTCTCGCCAGCCATTGAGGCTTTAGATGGACTTAAAAAGCGAAAGGACAGTGAGTGTAAAGCTTTTACATTTTTCTGTCTTTTGAGTCAGAAATATGCTCACACTCTAGACCATTAGGAAAGGGCAGAGAGTCACATTCTCTGGTTCAACTAAAATTATACTGCTGTATCTTTGACCTGCAGAAATATTCAGTGTGCATTATTAGGCTCTACACATTAATACAGACTCCATTAAATTGTCTGATAAAGTGTGGGGTCAGTCCGTGAGTTACTGGGTTGGACGTGACTGAATGCACCCAGCTCCATACAACAAAACGGATATTCTGTACTGTTGGTTAGTTCCAGTCAGTCCTCATGCTTTCAGTCATCTGGAAGGGCATATCTGGTGTAATTACGCCTGATAATCATCTAGTGTGTCCCTGACCTTATGATCCAGCGGATGCTGGGTGGGCTGTACTCTCAAAGCACTTACTTATTCCAGTCAAGTGTGGGCCATTAGTCCTGTGTAGTTGAATAAATATAATATCTGCAGTAGAAAAGAACTGTATCAGGCTTATATGAGTGAGATATTTGAGGTTAAAACTACTCTCTTTATTGGCTTGGGATGCTTCACAGTTTGACAGTTTGCTGGGTGAATTGGTCGAATTCTTTGTTGCAGACATCAGTCTCCACTGTGTGCTGTTTTTACAGGGTCATGGTAATGTGATGGGGTAGATCGTTCTGAAAAAGCCTCTTTCCTTTGCTGTGTTATAGTATTAGTTAACATCTTTTCAGCAGTGTAGTCAAACTGTTTCTGAATCTTCAATTTCTTTTAGCTGCAGCTGCTGTTTTGTTTTGGTTCCAGTCGTTTTTCTTTGGTCAAGCTCAACTCTGGTTTTTAGTTTACTTGAAGCAGTTGTACTGTTTTGTAACATGGCCATAATGTTTAAATCACCAGAGCACCATTGTTTACAATTCAGGCAGCACAGAAAGCTAAATATCTTAAAAATGTGCGTATTGTCTCTGTGTTTCATTGTGTAATGTTTGGACAGATCTGTATCTGTAGGCAATCTAGCAGTGATTGTTTTAATTTCACGCTTAGATTTCTTTTATTTCATAGCGTAGGACAATTTTCTTTTCATACATCAGGCTGCGTTTTGATTCGGCATTGCTGAAAACCTTAAAATTACAATACTTAAATGCTCGTTAAATGATGATGAATTCTAAGTATGGACTGCTGTGTGGGTGGTAACCTTGCTTCTGTGGTGGGCACAATGGTAGAGTAGAGGATGTACTGTAAACATCTCTTTGCACCTTGGTTACGTGACTTCCCAGCATACAGCTGACACTGAAAACACTGGATGTGAACTGAATTACTCTGATTTCTTTTAAGATGCATGTGTGGCATTAACTGGCCTTGACAGTCGTATTGCCAAGCAACCATCTGTCTATTCCTGTCAGTAACTGTTGGTGTGTGCTCTGATCTATCTGCTAAATTATGAAAGGGAATTATGAGTTTAAGGCATTCATTGGTCACTGTAGGCTGCACACAGAAATTATGCTGTTCTTTTATAATATGATGCATAAAAGGGAGTTTTGGTGCCAACAATACCTCAAAGTTTGGGTCCATAGAAACTCTGCATTTGGTATTTCAAAGGGATCATTTAGCATGGACACTAAGTGGTCTTGGCTGGAAATGGGGTTGATAGTGTTCAGTAATGCTGCATGCAGTGCCTTCGGTCATTACCAGACCAATTAAGCTGAATTCATATATTTGACGGTTGGTTTGCTGTGGAGTCAGAGTAGAGAGGTCATGTTGACTAGATCACTTAAGTTTTGCTTCAAATAAATGCCAGATTTTGTGAATGTCTTTCTCTTCATTCCTGATAACTAACACTTGAAAGGATCCACGTGGTCAAATACGTAATTCCCCATAATCACTAGTATCACTGATTCTTTCATAAGTTACTTATTCTGCATTACCATCAGAATCGGCTTTATTCGCCAAGTACGTATGTACATACAAGGAATTTGACTCCGGTAGACTTGCTCTCAATGTACCAGGTGGATTGATACCATGGATAAAAGGAGAAGCTTAACACTTAAATGGTCAACTTAAAGTTCAGAATATGAGGGTGGTTGCACCAAATGCTTATCTGAATATGAGGGTTGCAGAAAAGCAACACATTTGTTGTATTGATCTTGTCTAAGAAAATTCTCCTCCCCATCATTCGCAACACTTTCTCTACAACCTTGATTTTGTTTTTACATGGATCACAAATCCGCAATGTTTTATTAGCCCTTAAGTTATCTAGCCATAATTCTGTTTCCTTTCCTCAACCTCCCTGCAGCTTTCAGCTTGGACACAGAGCAGCCCGACTACGACCTGGACTCGGAAGACGACGCGTTTGTCAACAAGCTGAAAAAGAAGATGGAGATCAGCTTCCTGCAGTTTGAAGAGATGATTGACCGGTTGGAGAAAGGCAGTGGACAGCAGGTCGGCACCGTTTGTGTCTCCTTCTGCCCCCAAAACACAGCCAGCTGTAAAGAAGGGACCATGAAATACCTTATAGACCAATGAGAAATGAGCTTTGGGGGAATAAAAAGATGATGATACCGTTAAATAGTTGGTAACACAGATTTGAAACCATTAATGGTAAGATGCCCTCAGCATAAAAGCCCTCCATAACAGATCTGTCACCCTCCCCGACGCGTAAATCCTTAACTCATCAAAATGTAACTCCTGTTTTGTATCTTTTAGCTTGTGAGCCTTCCGGAGGCCAAACTGCTGTTGAAGGAGGACGATGAGCTCATCAAGGAGGTCTTTGACTACTGGAGCCGCAAGAGGAAAAACAGCAGGGCCAACTGTCTCCTCCACAACGTCAAGCAGGAGAAACGGGACGGCTCCAGCACCAGTGACCCCTATGTGGCCTTCCGACGGCGCACCGAGAAGATGCAAACCAGGAAGGTCGGTTGTCTTTACCCGCAGTTTTTGGCCGTGGCTGTGGTCATGGCAAAAACATCCTCTGTCTTGTTAGCCGCTGTATTGTGTAGTTGGACATGCCGTCAGTGGCAATAGGCCGACAACTGGGGACAAGGAAACTATGCACTCTCATACCTTGTTGCAGGAAATGTTTCGCCATTTCCGAAGCCTGTACTGACATTTTTTTCACACAGTGATTATGTTTCACTTTGTCATTGTCTTTTGTGAAGCTTTGCCAGATTAGCGTGATCCTGTTTGCAGTATTTACACACTATACATACCTCACCTGTGATGTAGACAGAAAATATTCTTAATACCTGACAGGCCGACAAAAGCAGAATGCTGTCAGGCACCCCAGCTGCATTCAGCGAGCAGCGTCTTACTTCACCCAGAGAGGGTTTTGTCTCGGCACACAGCTTTGTGTGAGACAGTCAGTACAGCTTTGACTAATGCAGTCTGTTTTGACAGAATAAATTAAAGGCAGAAGTGTGACATTTGGTCTGCTTAGAAAATTATTCTGTTTTTGTCTGCTTTACAATCTGAGTTTCTCTGTGAAATGATGACTGATAAAGGCACAGTGATTAATAAGCTTATGGTTCGTTTGGAATGAGACTGAAGTCCTTGATTTGAGATGTTTGAATACAAAGACAACTTAAAATGTTGTTGTCCATTTATTAATACTACACTGCTGAACTCTGTGACTCCATGAAATTGTTGTTTCCTCTCCTGTCTTGTAAAGGATGTATCTGCCACCAAGTGGTCATTTGAAGAATTTAGCCTTGATGTTAACTTTGTGATCTCAGCAACCTGTTGCTTTCATTTAAGCAGCTTTTTAAAATGTCAACTAGTAATGCATCAAAAACCTTCCTGATACTGATTTTTAATTTGATGCACATAAATCAACACGGTTCATATAACTGCAAATATTTGTTTTATAATCACTGATAAATTAATTACTTTTAATTTAATTACTTGCCAGTTTTGTCTTCGAAATGTACCTTTTATTTGTCTTGGTGTGAGGCTCTAAGCAATAATGAAGTGCTGTTCATGACGTTTACATCCTTGTTTATATGTTGCTTGTGCTGCTGACACATATTTCTTCCGTCAACACCCAGAACCGTAAGAATGACGAGGCGTCCTACGAGAAGATGCTGAAGCTACGCAGGGATCTCAGCCGAGCCGTCACCATCCTGGAAATGATCAAAAGGAGGGAGAAGAGCAAGAGGGAGCTACTGCATCTCACACTGGAGATCTTTGAGAAGAGGTGAGCCTATCTCCAGGGGTGTCAAACATAATGCATTAGTACCGAAATAAAACAAAAGCAGTTAGACTGCCGGGTGGCAGAGTGGAGACGGCAGGGTTACTTTAAAAAGAGGGAAAAAGTCGGTTGAATGCTCTGAGTGTAAAACTCAGTGTAAAAGAAAAGTTAAAGCAGCTTTTTCCCATTTGGGTACTGTTGTATTGAGCCATGTTTCCTATTGCGTTTATGTAGTTTGAGGGGGAAAAATGGTTTGGCTAATCTCTTTCCATTTTTCCAGAAACGTCATGTCAGACTACGGTGGTGAGGTGATGGCAGAGGTGTTGGCTGAACGAGCACTGGTGAGGCCGCAGATCATTCCCCTGGTCCCTGTCACCAACCAGTACCGACACCAGGACCACATGGACCTCAAGGACTATAAGTCTAAGGTGAGGCTCACTAAAAAGACAAGGCTTCTGAAACTATGCATTTAATACACCCAGTGTGAAGAGTTATATATCTGTGGAATGAATTTTAAAGATCGCTTGTGGACTCTAAATGTGGGCTTTTAATATGTTCAAAGTCTCACAAGTTGTGTCTTCTTTCACCCTTCAGCCCGAGAAGACGGAAGTTCCCCGACAGAAGAGGAGGTATGAGAAGAAGCAGAAGGTGTTGCCTCTCTCGTCGGGCGCCCCACACCACGCGGGTCCTGTCATCTTCAATGCCAAGGACCTCAACCAATATGACTTCCCCAGCTCGGACGACGAGCCCTTCTCCCAGGTACGTGTGCAGCTCAAACAAACACAGGCACTCGCTCATGCAAAGCCAAGCACACTATGAGACAGACCAAGCGTGACCTCTTGTCTCAGAATTTATCATGTGTGTTCAGTAGAATTCTCTGCGTGACGTTATGTATTTGTGTTAGTCAGTACTTTTTGCATTACACACAGATACAATTGTTTTAAATCCTAAGTGGATCTAGGAACAATTATTACACAGCACTATGAAACTCAACTAATCTCCAATTGTGCCTACAGCAGATGAGATGACATCTGTAACACGATAGTGATATAAATGAAAAAATAAAACTGTTATATTTGCAGAATATATTTCCATGGCTGCATATTGTCTGACCCTTACCAGAAGGGATCTAGTGTGTTGTCAAGTTAAAAACACAGCAACAAAGCGCACAACACATGCTGGAAACACAATTCATTGCAGGGTCTTAAAACAACAAACTTGGGTGTCTCTGTAACCACTCTGCGGTCCTGCTGCACTGCAGCCTACCCAGGCTCTTTCCATACCTCCACTCAGCTGCACTCTGCCCTTTTGTCCTGATAAATCCACTCAAAATTACAAAACCACACGAGACAAGTGGGTGGGCTTCAGTGTTTTAAATTCTGCTCTTGCGCTGACCTTAGACTGACCCCTAACCTCTGTGTCCACAGCTGCACTCAGGCTCATCAGAAGCAGAGGAGGAGAACGACCCAGATGGTGCCTACGCCTTTCGCAGGAAGGCAGGCTGCCAGTACTACGCTGTAAGTACCACGGGCATCCATAAAACGCACATTAGAGCTTTTACTCTTACATGATGGTGGGTTTAAGGGGCCATAATGTCCCAGTTGTTGTGCCCTGAGGTTGAAGGTGTTTTTTAAATGCTCTGTGTAAGCACTGGTTAGAACAGGAACAGTTCTTTCCATTGAGTCATTGTATTATAACATGCTGTGAAAAGTTTTTTCATAGTATTTAAATGTAATGTAGCACAGCTGAGCTCATGTAGAGTTAGTGACTAGAAAGGTTGCGTTGAGCAGGAGAGCAATATTCTGTGTTTTTGGAGAGTGTTCAGTTGACAGATTGTAAGTTAATGTCAATATCCAAGGCTTGTAGTTCACACTCCAGGTAATACTGAGATTTAAGGATCAGAGGTGTCGTACCCAGACAGTAAGAATGAAATGAGTCAAGTTCAGCTTCCTGTCTTTGTTTCCAGGCTCGTCAGGACCGCGTGGGTAGCTGGCCATGGTGTGGACCCTGGGATGGCGGTTTGGCAGAAGCTCGCTTTCGCTACAGTCTCACCACGCTCACCGTGCCACGGCGCTGCCTTGGCATGGCTCGACGACGCGTGGGACGAGGCGGCAGGTCAGTTGCATTTGTGCTCCTCGGATTTGCATTTTTCTTCTTTTGGGGGAGGGGTTATATGCTTTATCATTCTATTCACTAGTAATATATGTTTTTCTGGACATGTTGCATGCTATTGTATGATTTTTAAATATCACAGACAATGTGGCGAATAGTTAAGATGCAGACTTTTCTTTGCTGACAAGGAAGGGAGGGCAAATTTAATCTCACTCCTTTCAGATATACCTGGAAGTATTCATATCTAATTACTTGATTAGTCCCTCAGAAAGAATGCCAGACAAATAAAGGCTAGTTTTCTTTATTGTCACGTCCCACCGTCCAAGCACAAGACCTGATCATCTCCCTCTATCATGCAGGGTGTTGCTGGACAGGGCGCACACGGACTATGACAACATTTTCCACAGACTGGATCCAGAGACGCTCGACCTGCCTCTTCCTCCTTCTCCTCCTCCTCCTCCTCCTACAACTACTTCACGCTCGCCGACCACCGACAAGTTTGCCAGTACCTCAGAAACAAATACCTCAGACAGAAGTTCCTCCTCCTTCAACTCCTCTCTTTCCTCCCCCTCTCCCACGGACCTCAGTCAGATACTGTTGAATATAAAGTCGTGCCGATGGAGGCACTTTAGACCGCGGACACTACCACTACATGAGCTGGACAATGCCCACCCGCTATTCAGGAAGTTGAGTCGAGGCCTGAAGCGCCCAATCTCTGCCTCCGCACCCGGGGGACAGCCCTATGGCTCTCAACGCCCGGGGAGGGTTGTCCCTACACCCGCACCCATTGCTGGTGAGTGAAACTGCTGTCTTCAAACACACATTGTAGATGCTTTCAATGCCAGGCTCTGTTGTTGAAATGACTTAGCATTTATGATGGGTTGGAGTTGCAGACCACCATCTCTGCTATGATTTATGAGTGACTTATTTAATTGTCAAATATTCATTGAAAACAGGACAGGCATACACCCACACACCCCACCACACACAACTTGTCTCCTGCCTTTGAGCTTGTTTTAAACATTAACATTTAATCCCTTAGCCGTAGCAGTATTAACCACGAAAATGCTCAAGGTTTTAATCACTCAGGTGTTGAGATATGAGCTATTGATATTTCTGCTGTCACCCTTCTAAAATGGAGGAGAGTAAATTATGTTTTTTGTGCTGAAAAACCTTAAAGCTGGGTTATGGAAAGACTACTTGCTTTTGAGGGGATTTTTTAAATGCAGGTTTCTTGAGTATTAACTGAACTGTTTAAATTGAATAAAATTTAGATTAAATTTCCTCCTCAGTATGTTTGAGAAGAGATATTAACAGAAAACTGAAACTATCACTATTGCAAGATACTACTGTCAATAGAGGATTGTGTGTTTTGGTTGAACTGACCCTTTAAGAGGCATGCTAGTGCACAGAGGTTATTAACAATTACAAATGAAAATATTCAGGATGCACACTCATGTCAGATTGCTTCCTTTTTACCATGACATTTTTCTCTCGTATATTTTTACCTGGAATGCAGTGATCATTTTTTCCTTGGTGGGAACGTTGTAATCGCAGGACAAGTGTTGGTCCTGCCCTCCAGCTGCATTGTGAGAGTTTTCCTATTGTTGTTCATCAGGTGCAGCTGTTGCTTGGCATTCACAGGGCACCCCCTCCCACCCCACCCAGTCCACAAGGTGTCAATTAAAACTGGAGTTTGATAAATAAATTCATGAGATGCAAAGGATTTGTTAGGGTGTTTGACAAAGAGGCACGGAGCGTTGAATACAAACTAAATGCCACAGGTCCCTGGTGGCATTACTGAGGGCAGTCAGGCAGTTGGCGTGTCGATGTCACTACAAGCAGTTTACAGGAGTTGGGTCTGTTTTGATGTACATGAAAACAACTGCCTATTGATTTATTTTTGAAAAACTGCTCTGCCTTTAAAGTGCCATGAAGAAACTGAAGGACACAGATGTAACGAACAAGAGATTTTGCAGGATACTCAAGTGACTACAGTATTGGTTAAGTCTGCAGAGAGCAGCCGTGAAGGCGGGTTGCAAGCAGTGCTGAATTAATAAGAGCAGTATTTTTGATTAAACTAGACGCTGTTAGATTACATGAAATAAGCATGAAGGGTGTTCCAGATGGAGGTGGTGCCTGAAGACGAGCTGTGACTTTCAGATGAGTCCTGAATCCTGTTAAGTGGAGAACTGAATGGCTCGCAGGGAATACGAAAATCAATATTGCACCGAGGCTCAAGGCCACGTTAATACCTCCAAATGTGCAAATAGGACTTTATAATCAATAGAAAGCCAATAAAGGAAGATATTATTTGCAGGATAAATAACTGGGATGCTTATAAGACCAACTTAGATATGCATACAAGAAACCAGGTGTCTGTGTGTAACCAGGTTATGGTAGGAAATATGAGAATTTGTTTTCTGGAGTGGACTGGATAGCATCAAACAAATGTGTTTACATGCAGCTCATTTTTCAGATTTCTTCCCTACCCTTGATATCTATGAACCGAAGCTGGCATATTGTAGCCTACTGCAAAAGCCAATTGAAAGTAACCTGGTTACTAAAGTACATGTATGGCAGGACCAGATCCATGGCATGTACTCATTCTGATTGGCAGACTACAGGCTTGATGATACTGGTGTTGTATTACTTCTAATAGATGAGCAAGCTGATTATGAGAGTGTGGAGCTCAGACTGTTCACTATATGGTAGGCATTGATTTTTCACACAGTATCGATCAGTAACGCCTCAATTACAGGACAGCTTGAGCCGAAGATGCCTCACCATTGATGTTTGAGAACCTGGCTGTAGTTTTCCTTTTTAGAAAGTCTGTTTTTGGTGGCTGCCTTATCAATGAATGCAGTATTGGGTGTGTGTGTGTGTGTGTGTGTGTGTGTGTGTGTGTGTGTGTGTGTGTGTGTGGGTTTATTAAAGTGCAGTTGTGCCTGTGCATCACTGTGTGAATTACAAACAGGCACACAGCCATAGAACCACCAACAGTCTTGGAAGATTTGGCAGTACTCGGAAAGGGAGCGGGGAAGTATGAGAAACATGGTTGCATAATAAATGTGCGTTCATTCACCAAAGAGAAATTGAAAGAAAATATTTATGGTGATATTTCTATTGCTTTCTTATCCACAAAGCAGAAAGTTAGAGTAAAACAGTGGCTTCAAACAACCTCATGCATCAGTGATGAGTTTCACGCGGAGCTGATGACACAGGGTTGCCGAGGCTACAGCAGGCGTGGTCAAGCACTCTTACCCACAAGAGCCTAAAAAAATAAGACTGTACTGCATTTCAGAGCTGTGTCCTATCACACAAACAGCCTTGGCATGCCACACACACACACAGTGTAATTGGTTTATCTGAATGGTTCTATCACTACTAGATTGTCGTGTCTTTGAGCAGAGAGTTGTTTCCCAAAGTAGTTGGGTACCTCAGAATCTGCTGCCAGCAAATACATTTATGTTAGAGAAATGTTTTTGGTTTATTCAAACTAAGCCCATCCAAGCCTTCACCTCTCCACACACTACCCACGCTTTTTTCCTGCGTGATTTTGTAAAGGTGAATTTGTCTGCACGGATTCTCTACTTACTAACCATGTGTTTAAGCTGTATTCTAAGCATATATATGGCATGCTGGGTTTGAAATCAGCACCAGCCGAATGATGGTACATTTGCTTCACTCACCAGCCAAAAAAAAAAACAATGTAAATCTTTTGGGTGGATGGTAGATTTTTAAATCCACCAGTCACAGTGCCAGGTGGACAAAAAGTACATTTCCAACTCTGATTATGGTGTGAACTGTGGTCTAAAAGACTTGTAACAAACTCTCGTCTCTCTCAGCTTTCACAGCCGAACAGTACCAGCAGCATCAGGAAGAGCTGGCCCTGATGCAGAAACAGCAGCTGGAGCAGGTCCAGCTGCAACAGCAAGCCAACAGCACCGCCACTACAAACAGCACAAAGGTCAGTATCCAGGCACTTCTGGTCCTCAGATGCAAACTGAACTGGTTTCCTTTCCGATTTCCTCAAGTTTTTGTACGTGACTGAAACAGTCGTCTTCTCCCCTGCAGGGCCTGCCAAACACTTTGGACCAGGCCAGCGCTCAGTTCGCCGCCTCGGCCGTAGTCACCGCCGACCAACTGCTGGCTCTCAAAACCAAGGAGGAGCTAGCCCTGGGAGGCGGAGTCAATGGCGTCCTCTCCCCCTCAGGTATGACGACCCTCCAAACAGCCACTTGCACAGCTGGTAGGCTCGACCAGTGGGCTTAAATTTTGGAGCGTCTCTCTCAGTGATAAGACGACGGCCAAGAATATTTTGTCTTCTGTAACTAAAGTGACTTCTTGTGCACCATTACTGAACACAGTAAAGGTGACACACCAATTATTCTGAGCACGATAGGCCATCACAGTAATGGCTTGAGTAATTATCCTCATTATTTTATTTAATAAGATGGTCTTTGGTGCTATTAACTGCATTTCTTGTGTCTGATGGCCATTATGATTTTTCTGAAGCACCACTGGGAATTTTTCATTACTGACATGCCAACACTTTCCTACCCCACAAAATATACTTTGTTTAGGAAAAAAACAATGCAACCGAAAAGTAATAAAACTAAAAGCAATTAAAATTTAAAGTGCACTTCACCCAAGTGTTGCAGTACAGTGACACTGAACAGACAAAGCAAACAATGAGGGTGAAGTAATTACAGTCCTAAAACCCATAATGGAGTGCACTGACAGAGCAGATAACGGCACAAAGCAGGCAGAACAAAACCTGCAGCACTAACCCCCCAACAACCGATGCCATTTTCAGGCAGCAGGATTTAAGAGATAAGTGAGGAAAAGTGACAAAATGTAATTTTCCATTTGAGATTATTCTGCAGATGAAAACGGTGCGCCAAGGATCTGTCCTTTACAGATAAAACTACTGGAAACTTAGATAATCATTGTGAAAGATTTTTGTGTTTGAATGCTTCGTTTCTTTGTGATTCTGGTAAAAAGGAATAAATCCAGCTCATAAATGACCTTCTTCCTCGCAGTAGATGTTTAATACTGTGCACATTCTTAAAGTTAAGGTATGTAATTAGCTTGTTTGAACTCTTTTAAAAGTAGTGCACACAGTCTCAATAGCTGCCTTTGTTTGATTATGAAGGATTCACACTTTGAAAAATTCATTATTTTTTTTTTATGTACTTGAATAGTTATCTTGTATTCATTCAGTGCTACAAGTCTTCAGTATAAAGAACAGATTTTTCCCACTAAGAACAGTTGATAATTGAAACCTTCCATCTCCCCCCCTCCACCACCACCACCACCACCACCCGGCCTCTTCTGACCCCTCAGGTGTCTACAAGGGCTTGCACCTCTCGAGCACAGTGTCCCCTTCCCCCGCCACCCCGGCTCCTCCCACCTCTACCCCGACACCCGCCTTGCTCCACCCCTGCACCACCACCAGCTCCACCTCCGCCACCAGTAACAACAACGGCACCGCCCACCCTGCCAACACCACTACCACTAACACCGCCGCCACTCAGGTCCTGCTGGGAAACAACAACAACAGCCTCCGTCTGGGTGTTCCCACCGGCAAGCGCGTCCACGCGCCGCGGACGCTGAGCGCCACCATGTCGACATCCGCCTTAAAGCTCGCCCACGCAGCCGCTGCAACCGCCAACTGTCAGAAACCCAAGGTCACTACGGCCTCAGCCTCGCCGCTGGACATAGTGCCCAGGTGAGAAAGACATGCAGCCAGTGTGAGGACGTTAAAGAGACAGTGATAGTCCACTCATTATGGTGACAGGTGACATGTCTGTGAAAACCTATCCAGATTTTCTGGAAATGAATGTCTGGAGTTTGACAAGAGCTGCAGTCACATGGGACATTGATAGATAAAAAACACTTTAACCCTGTAATCACAGGTAAACACAATAAAAGATAAGATTCTCTATAGTATTCATCACTCTATGAAAGCTTTAACTTGTTTAACGGGATGACATTATATTCAAAGTAGGCCAGTCTATTCTTTATTGATCTAATATTTAGTGGAGGACAGGTCTTCAGTTAAATGCAGTTAGGGCTTGGCAGTGTCTGTTGAAGAATGTGAAACAAGTGACAGTTGGCCTTTTCCCACTGCAGGAACTTAAGGAAATGTAACGTTAGTCATGAGCTCTGCTTTTGTTTCAGTTGTTCTGCACCTGCTCTGGGGACATGTTCTTGGAACTGAATTTCCTGCTTTGCTATAAGCACCTGCTGGCATTCCTGTTGATCACAATTAAGTGAAATAGATGTGTTGTCATGTAACAACCAAGTCCAGAAACTATAATGCATGCAACCAAACATTCCCGGGAGAAATAGCGGTCAGAGGATCTTTAGGGGGTGACGGCAAGTCGACAGTATTTGCCACATAAAAGTGGTATACACCATCTGAAAGCTGGGAACCTGGAGATTAATTTGAGATGCAGCTCAGCACTGTGTCAAGGTTTTCTAGTCATGAACATGTCCTAGAAGCATTGCAGTTAGGTGCCTATTCAGACTTTGAGTTTGCAAAAATATTTAATCACAAAAGGTGAAAATACTTGAACTGCCTGCAAAAATGGCATGGTACTAGCCTAAAGTGAACATGTTTGTAAAAGGAAGACTCACTGGTTCCCATTGGACCCATTTTCATTTAGATATCTCAGAGTCAGAGGTCAAGAAATCCCTTTTAAAAATGGCTAGGCAAGTTTTTCCCTCACCAGAATGTAATTTTTGGGGGGTAATTAAACCCCCTTCCCACAGAACATTGGCACAAATGGATTCCTTAGGTCGTCTACTTCAATGTTATATGGGCATCGTCGCTCTAACTCTAAAACTCAGCTTGCTACAGCCTCTGAAGGACAGTAATGTCAGCTGAGGACGCGGCATCCCCGTCGAGTGGTAGTGGTTAATACAGATACACAAATTTCAGTTTTTGATGACATCCAGCTTTAATTCCTTCTGTGTTTGAATTTAATTATTTGTTATTAAGTCAAGAGTTTGACCCAACTTTTTAATGTATGTCCAAAAAATACCCACCAGTTTGTAAAATACAGCACAGATTTTGTACCAAAGCCTTCCAGGGTTCTGAAAAGTCCAGGTTATGGGACGCCCTAGTTTACAGGTTGAAGTTCCTGCAGTGGGAAACGGCTTCTGGTACACTAATGAAACAGTTTTACATGCTAACTACTTTGTGCTAACTGTGTGTCTCACTGTCGTTTGTTTTCTTCTGTCCGCAGGGAGAATCACGAACAAGACAAGCCAGCACTGAACAGTCTATCAGAGAACACAGTGGCCATGGAGGTTACGTAGCCTCCCGTCCGCAGCACGGGGAAGCGTAACTCCTTTGTTGTTGTTTTTTAGGTGCTATGCATCGTTCGTCAGTGGTGAAAGCAAAGCGGTGGCGGAATGAGCACGGCAAGGCTGGGTTTCCATGGCAACTGTTTTGGGACTTAATTGCAATGCTCGTCTCGTACAAATTGTTTTTTTTTTTTCCTCTCTCTCCCCCCATTTCCCTATTTGTTACTGTTAATAAGAGATCGTCTGTAAATTCTTAATATGGCAATTATATGTACAGTACTGCATATTTGTAATACCACCCTCCCCCTCCACCCCCCCGTTCTTGTATATAACATTACTTGAATACAGAATTGTTCATTTGTGATGTTTTGCACTCGAGATATAAAAAAAAAAAAGAAAATCAAAATTAAAAAGAAAACGACAAACTGCAACTGGTGCGAGTATGAGGTGTGAAAGTTGTACCACAGAAAAATGTATGTCATCACATGCATGGTGCGGAACCTGCTGTTTGATCTATTTATTGTGCCGTGTTTACAAAGGTTTTTTTTTTTTTTTTTCCTCCGTTCATTTTCTTATTTTTATTTTNCCCCCCTTGCTGTAGTCAGTGTTTAGCTAGATTAAAAAAACTCTCTGTATTCTTTTTGGATGTTGTGAACATGGCCGGGAGCTCGTCCGTTTTTGTTGGGCGTTCTTCCACGATGTTCCCATGTGTCATGTTAAATCCATGGAAACATGCGTTCATACAGATTCAGGCGCAGGGCGGTAGAAGAAGACGACAGGTGTGAATTTGTTTGTTGTCGGCATCAGTTTGTCAGTGGGTTAATCAGTTTCCACAGAGCTCTTCCATACATATAATATTCCTGAGACAAGTAACAAAACAATGGGGATGATGACATTTTCCCAGAAGACTTTGCTGCTTCTGACTTATCTAAGCACTATATAATTTGTTTATCAATTGATGCTGCTTTTGTATGATTTCCGCCTCTGGTTTACACCGGATGGCTTTATTTACTTTTTGTTTTCTCTAAAAGATCATCCCCAACCTCCCCCTATCATTTTTTTAAATAAATATTTTTATACCTCCCCACTTTTTTTATTTTCCTCACAAAAAACTTCATTCTTTTGTTACTTGTTGATCTAAACAAAATACTATAAGGGAGTTAAAAAAATGCAGTAACTGACATTTATTATCATTCCAGCTTTGACATAAAAAGGAGGAAACCATGTATTTGAAAATTAAAAAAAAGAAGAAAAGTTTTCTTTACTTTTAAAAACTCTCCAGAAGGCTGAAAGGCCATGAACCACAAGTTATCGGGTGCCTTCATTTGGGAAAAAAAAGAAGAAAAAAAAAACCCTTAAAAAAATTGCTCTCTTCTGTGAAGAGTTTGGTACTGAACAAGGCTACTTGTAGTTTTTCTTTGTCTGTACCACAATCCCAATGCCCATTCCAATGGCCCAATTGATTCATGAGTTTGTTTTGTTTTTGTAGACCCTTCCACCACACACACAAACACACACACGCATACACACATACATGGGAAAGACTAAGAATCCTCTTGAATTGTCACAAAATGAAATAAAAATCCAGGGCATTATGTGTTTTGACCAGCATGTCTCGTTTTTTTGTCGTCTTTGTCTTTAATGTGTCCTGAAGTGAGCAAGCTTGAATTTAGTGAAGTGCTGTGTCTCTGTGGGGGATAACCGCTGCCAGCCAAATGCTGCTGAAAACTCTGGCTGTTGATGTTTGTCTACCTACAGTACAGTGGTGTATCTGTTGTTTCATGTATGTCTATATTCAGGTGAGGTCATGAATGAGTGTCAGCAGCAAACCAGCATTTCATTTAGAAGTCTTACTCAAAATAATGGAAGTTCCTGGCTAATTAATTCCTGTGACCTGTCATCTAAGAGGTTGCAGTACTCAAAACTGAAGGTTTGACACTGTGTAGATGTGTGTATTCAAAGGGAGATGCCCCATAAATTTAGAATTTCAGTATGTTATTTCCATGACTTAGGAATGTTCAATCAACAGTGAGCATTAACTATTCTCTCTCAAAGTCAGAAACCAGAGGTTAGTCTCAAACTTGTAATGTCTGGAGCTGCTCCATAGACACCAAATGGGAGTCTGATTTTGGGAACCCACAGTTTTTTTTCCCTTTAATACCCACATGATTCTGCGGTAGTGTTTTCAGTTCTTAAACAGAAAATGTCCTACCATTTAGAGCAGGAGTTCCCAACTGGTCCGCCCACAGGGTCCATATTTCTCCTATGTCATTAGTCCAAGGTCCACACTGTTAAATTTCTTCAGTGTCATACTTGCGCTTTCAAGTTAGTTCACAGTCTCTGTCAATTAGCTGTCCATTAGTCACTCACTTTACAGCAGGAAATGGCACTTCAAAATAAAAGCTCTGTGCCAGAAATTCACTGTACTTAAAAATGAAATTTGTGTTTTACAAACTTGGCATGTTTGAGAGTCCATTCAATCAATTTTATTTATAAAGCCCCTTATCACAAATCACAATTTGCCTCACGGGGCTTTACAGCATACGACATCCCTCTGTCCTTAGGACCCTCACAGCGGATAAGGAAAAACTCCCCAAAAAACACTTTAACAGGGAAAAAAAACGGTAGAAACCTCAGGAAGAGCAACTGAGGAGGGATCCCTCTTCCAGGACGGACAGACGTGCAATACATGTCGTACAGAACAGATCAGCATAATAAATGAACAGTAATCCGTATGACACAATGAGACAGAGACAGAGACAGATGCAGGACAGACGGTAATGACAGTAGCTTACAGCAACATTAATGAAAGTAATAATATAGTTATAATTCTGGCTATTGTGGTACAATATGTTGAAAGTATGTATTAATGTCTGATGGTATACATATGTGACAGTAATTATATGTCACTTGGAGTCCGTTCAGAATGGATCGGCGACCCACCAGTTGGGAACCACTGATTTAGAACATCTTTCCCAGTTCATTGTCTGTGGAGCAGCTTCGGACTTTGCACCCCATGACATCATCGATTTGAGTTTTAGCACTCCATTTTTTTTGGATTTGGGAGAGAGATGTGTGTTAACTTACATTCTGGAACTATCTTAGACCATAAGAATAAAGTATAAATCTTTAAATATGGGTGTAGTTCCCTGTTTCCCTTAAAAAGATTGAACATCCTGTTCTCAAAACAACAACAAAAAAACACTAAATGTAATTATTCAGTCTCTAAAATTAGCTGTTCTTCTAATCATACTTTACCAAGTTGGGTTATTTTCCATTCCTAAAGATGATAAATACCTGCAGTCTATCACTGCTCCTCTCGCTCTTCCCTAGGCATGACTCATCGTTTTTAGATTATGACCACCTGGAGTTGAAGCATAGTTGGTCGTGTCTGTGAATGAAACTGATAAGTGGTGACGTTCTTTCTAGCCAGTGCCTTTGAAAAAATAATGGTGCCTTTTTCTGTTCTCCCAAATTTTTTTGTTTTGTATCAATAGTTTCTACTCTATTGTTTTTCCTGCAATGTAGATATTGAACACGTCTGCTGTATCACCTGTTCAGGGGGGAAATGCTGTTTGTCCTGCTGTGATAAGTAGGATGGCAGCTACCAGGTGCAAACACATTTTGCTGATTGTTTATGAAAATATATGTGACGAAATGCACTCTACACTTATTAAACAAAAGCGTTTGGGTGTTGTGGCTTTAAAATGAGCACATAAAGCAACTGGAAAGTTTCTACAGTGACTTGTATAGAAAAAACTGATTCAATAAACAGGTACTTCAGCCAGCCTGCTGGTGACTCAGCATACAAGACCTTGGATTGCTAAATTAACAAGATGTGTTTGGCTCAATAAAAATAGGATCATGAATTTTGAAAGTCGTCCCAATAGATAGACAAGGGAATGAATAATATACACTATGAATTTTGACTCCCACTATTGATTTTTATAAAGAACATAATTGAAATCACTCATTCAAACCAAAAAGTGTGTGAGGGTATTGAAACACAAAGGCTGTTTCTGTTCCCCCGACAAATCAGTGTTCAGACTGCCTGTTGTCTGTGGTTTATACAGGAAAACAAGGGCCGACTGATGTGGCTATAAAATCAGGCACTGAATGCCAAAAGGATGACGAGCAGTTAACGAAGGTTAGAGTCCACAGCATCGTCTGACTGGGAGTGAAACACTCAGCAGGAGTGCCCACATCTGTCTCTTTTATTCACTTACTTGACCCACTTTGTTTGACTGTTGAGAAAAAGAAGACAACAATCTTGTTTCTGTGTTTAAAGCCTTGTAGATGCACTTTACATGTATAAATCAGGCAGTGAATGTAGGCCAATGAGATCAATGAAACAATTCAGTAACGCATATTTTGCCAACAACAACAAGGTGGCTCAGGGCTATTTGAGGGTGCTGCTGTAGAGAAGCTAAAGAATCTTCAGCCTTTATAGCACGATGCTGCTGCAATGCAGTATTATAGTATTATGGTTTAGAAAAACATGAATTTGTTCATAGAGAGGCCAGTCAGGAGCGCTGTAGCTGTTTACCTGTGGCTCTTATTCATTGAAGTAAACACAAATTGGGTAGGATAAGGGGTGACATTTAAATGTAAATTCTGCTTCTTAGAGGTGGGGGGGGGGGGAAGTCGATAAGAGCTGGAAAATAAATGAGGCGAGCGGCGGTCTAACTCCACGAGAGAGATTGCGTTTACCATGCGTCTGACTTGATCGTATTTGGATCTTTGCCTGTAATTGCTTGCTCCAAAAGATAGAAGGGAAAAGTGTCAGTGCAAAGTTTTTCGGGATGTAGGAACCGTGTGCATCTGAAGGCAGGAAGGTGCTGCAAGACCTGTGTTTAATAGTCTGAAAGCAGTAAATATGGCTGTGGTGTTTTACAAGTTTTAGAGCAGTGATACACAGCAAGAGATAAATGTACTTTTTGTTTTTGCAGAGAAATAATAAAATGCTGACTGAAAGGGGGGGAAGGAACGTAGTTAGGATCATGAACGGATTACTGAATGGGCCAACTGGGCGCAGGTCCAGGGCTCCACAGGGTCAAAAGGAGAAAGAGACATAAAATAACCACAAGGAGGCACAAACAACTATAGAAAGACACAAAATGACTTGAAAGAGACACAAAATGCCTACAAAAAGACATAAAACAACCACAAGGAGACACAAAATGACCAAATGTGACACACAAATATCTCAAAGAGACACAAAATGACTTGGAAGAGACACAAAAAGATGCAAAATGACCAAAGATGATACAAAAATACTTCAAAGAGACACAAAAAGACTATAAAAAGACACAAAATGACTACAAAGCCACAAAAATACATCAAAGACAAACATAATTACCTCAATGAGAAACTAAATGACTTGAAAGAAACACCAAACCACCACAAAAAGAGACAATATGACTTG